TACTTAGATATGTGCTGGGTATTGGTGATGATATTACTGCTTCTGTAGTAGTGTCATAAAAATTAATTGATTTCTATTAAATAGCTATAAAATGTCCTTCTTTGTCCATTGTGTAAATTCACAATATTTAGAAATAATCTTTTAACAATCTTTCAACAGGGAGAGTTGCAAATAGAAAGCAGGCTATGTGTGCTGGCCTCTCTGGTGCATTTGGAGTGGCTGGGACAAATAAACAAAGCAGGTTAAATGTAGAAACCAGAGTTGTAACTTTTTCCTAAAAGGTTCTGGGAAAAAAAATAGAGTAACATAATTTGAAGGGGAAATAATTTTGTATAAAATTATTGTTAGGAATAACAGACTTTCTGAAATGGATTGGCAGATTTGCTCATCTAATTTGTTTTATTTTTTACATCTTTATTGGCAGTGTTAAGTGGCTTGCATCTTTATAGTATAAGGTAATGAAATTTAGGGGGAACTCAAGCATTAGTCACAGCTAGTAAGTCATTGAGCAAGTGACAAAACACAATTTACAGCAAAGAATTTATTGTTTTATTTAATGCTTTAAAGTTGTGCTGTATCAAAATGTTACTGCTGTCTAGCGAAGCAAAGGATGAGGCTAAAACTGTTAAAGGAAATGCAATAGTTTATTGTTCTGGAGTAGTGAAATTGTCAAAGGGCTGCTACTTAGTGTCGTCTTTGACTGTCAGCTTTATTCACAGGATAATACATGTAGCTGGATGCAATGTGTAAAATGTGTGTGTAATAATTAGAAGTCACCCATAGATGTGTGTAAACCATAGATAAGTAGCTAGCATAATAAATTCCTAAAACCTACACACATTCTGACATGGCATGGATAAAGTCTTCATGTGGATTTTGTGTTATGGAAAGGATGCAAGATGCTGAGCTGGGGCAGAGGATTGCCTGTAAAGTCGCTGTGCTGTGCTGTCCTGTGGGGACTGTGTGTGCACAGCAGCAGCAGCAGAGGTGGCTGGGCTTGTCTGCAGTGCAGGCCAGCTGCAAGGGATTCCTCAGAGGGGGAACGGGGCAGCACGCTCAGGGGGATCTGACCAGCTTGGTAGTACACATGAGTAAATGGCTCTGAGCATGCAGGGAAATAAGGGGGAAGGTTGTTCTTAACACACTGTTCTCGGACTGGTGAAGGGCCCTTGTGTAGCAGCATTGTTGTCCTCCTCTCATAGACCTAATTTCTGGTGGCTTACCTCTTTATCAGTAAGTGTGAGGGTCTGATAGAAAGTGTTTTGATTTGAGTTAATAGCCTCTGAAACAAAAATGTTCTGGGGCTGTTTTCTTGCTTTTTATATCATCCTTTAATTTCTCTCTTTCTTGTTTCTGTATGTTTTAATTCCCATTATTCCTGTTTACCCTGTGTCATACATGCTTTCTTTTTCTGTTAGCTTACTGTGAAGCTTGAGTTTTCTGTCATACAACTTCTGATGCAGCTCCTACTCAGGACTTACTCTTCCCTTCAGGGCTAGTATCTTGGCTTTGGACTCATAAGTGCTGCCAGGATGAAGTATTAGGAGTTGTGCTTGGTTGTGAGTCAAATTGTTTGCAGACAGATTTATCTCTTCCTCTGCCTTTTCTTTTGCTGTTTCCCATTAAATTTTACCTCTGCTCATGCCCTTATCTGCCTCTTGCCTTATGTTTCCTTCAGCTTGTATTGCTGTTGCTTTTTGGTACTTCATGAGCAACATTGGCAGTTCAGGACGAGCAAATCACATGACTGCTTTTTCCATTGCTTAGAAAAAAGCATTGTCCAGGGAAAATGGCACAGGCAGGATGGTTAAAGTTCTCTGGCAGCTTCTAAGGGGAAAGCTGCGGGAAGGTGGTCTGTTCAATGCATCTTTCTTTGCAGTCTCTTGCCAGACCAAAGCAGGTACACTGTGTCTGCTCGGGCCATGTTATCCTGGAATAACAAACCCAGCTACAGTTGGTCTTGATCATTTCTGGTGGGATTTCATACTGGGAACTGTGTGATGTGTCCTGGACTATTAGTACCTTAACTGTGGTTGTATAATCTGTGTTGTGGGTTTAATGTGCTGTGGCTGCTGATACACCTGCCTTCATCCAGCAGAAAGTGTCTGGCAGAACCAGTATGGAACTGGAGCCAGTGAGGTCTATGATCCTTTCAGTTCTGTTCCTCTCCTTAACCGTGTGGGTCTGCTTGGCTCAGGGGGTTGACTCATGTGGCCTTGTCAATTTTGTGTCGCTCGGTGCGTGCTGCAGTGCTGTGGATCTTCTTGGCTGGAATGACAAGAGACATTGCAGAGACATCTTGTCTGGGATAAAAGTTGGTTATGTTCGTTCTTGTGCTTTTAGTCTTAGACCCGATTTCTGGCATGTGAGGGGCATGGATACAGGGACTGGCAGAGCACAACGAGAGGCAGAAGCAATGTAAGAATTGAGCATTAACAAGTCACGTGGTTTCAAAGTAAATCAAAACCATAGGGAAGTCAAGATAGTAGTGTATTTTTTTAATGAGGCGAGGGAGGATGGGTGTTATCCTGTATTGTCTCTTCCCTGGGAAAGAAAGCATCTGTCCTGCTTAATGTTTATCAGTGACCTGGAGGAGGTGATGGAGGATGCCCCAGTTGCAGATGACAGCCAACAGGCAGTGTGCTGGAGGCTGCTTATTCAGAGGGACCTGGACGCTGTCCCAACACCAACCCTATGAAATTCAGCAAGGAGAAACACAGAGTCCTGTGTTAGGAGTTACTGACTTCAGTGCCCTTTTCCTTCAGTTTTCCTGTGCTTTTTCCTCCCCAGTTTTCCTTGCTGCCTTTCCCTAAATATGGCCCAAGACTTGTACAGTCCTACAAGCTCTTCCCTCCCATTCTATAGTGAGTCTCATAGCCCTGTAGACATTAGTCCCCAAACGGGAAAGGTGATCTAGGCTCTGTGGACCCTCATTGGAAGTTTTCAAGGCTCAGCTCAGTAAACCCTTGAACAGCCTCATGTTCTACCAAAAGCTGATTCTGTTTTCAGCAAGAGGTTGAATTGGAGACCTCTGAGAGTCGTCCTAACCTGACTTACCCAGTTATTCTAAAAGTTGCTGCTGAACTGTAAATAAGTAAGTTCTCAGTCATTTGCTCTGTTTGCATCATAACTTGCTGATAATAATCTGTATTTTAAGTCTGCATATTGCAGTCTTGATTGGCCTGTTGATGATACTTGAGTTACTTACGGGCTGGCAAAATACTTCCACTTCTGAATCACTGTTTGTGTTGAGTTTGTTAATGCAGTGCTAGCATTAGAAGCTGTATACTGTCTCTTAAATGTGATTTTGTTAAATCAGTGTTAGAAACTTGTCAGACTTGTGGACAAGTTTTTTGTTAAGATGCTACAAGTGGTACTTAAAATGTGGCAATATGGCATGCTATTGCATGCTGGGTTTTTTATTTTTTCAGAGAATCAACTGTGTATCAGAAGTACTCGAGGTATGAGTTGTGAGGCAAATTCCACTCTAGGGCATCTAAGCCAGGACATTTTACATTTTACTGCATGAATAAATTCAGGTATCTGTTCACTGTGTGTTGTGAATGAGCACAGTACGGTGACAATGGAAATACTGGTTTTGTAAATTAACTTTTTAAAACTTTACAAGATGGTCTCCTTTCATGGCTGACTCTGGTGTTTTTGAGAGGAGAGGGGATTCCCTTTTGAACAGTCTTGGTTTGGTGGTCCTGAACAGATGTCGGCTTCTTAAACAGTAGAGATCCAAAATTACAGTGGTCCGCATCCTGGAGCAGTGCCAAGATCAGCAGTGTGGTAAAGCCCAGTGCGTGGAAAACATGGATGTCTGGACAGCAGTGTTGTGCATTCCCAGTGGGAATCTGGAAGGAGGAGTTTTGGGGACCCGTGCACTTGTGCAGTTCCATTCCCTTGCTGGTGCACGGCGGCTGTGGCACAAACATTCACACAGTCAAAAGCAGCACCCAGGCACTTTGTGGTTTGGCAGAGCTCTGTTGGTTGGGTGCAGGAAAGATTATGGGTTTTTTAGTTAAAAGTTGATGGTGATTCTTAGCTGGCTTTTCTTTTTAGGGGTGTGGCAGCTGTGTTGGTGTCCCAGCTTGAGCAGTTCAGAGTGCAATGCTCATGCAGGAGTGTGTGTGCTTGTATGGCTGGCGTGGCCTAAGAGTGACAACTGTACATGGATGCCAGGTTGCTCTTCCCAGGACTTAGAGCATCACAGTCCTAGATGATTCTGTTCATGTGTTCCATAAGTCACTGTGCCTGTAGCCTGACTTCCTCAGAGCAGCTGTTTCTGCTGTCAGAGCTAAGGCAGCTCAGAATTTCATCATGATGCTCACAATTTCATCAACAAACTTTTGTGATCACTTCCATCTTAATCTGAGGGAGTATATATCCTCTTCTAAAGCCATCGCTGCTCTGTTGTGGCAAAGGATTAAAGCAGTCATTTGGTTCTTCAGTAACTCTCTTTTAGCTTTACAAGGTTTATTTGAAATTCCAAAAGAACTGAATAGTGTAAGCTCCATGTTTTGATATTTATCAGCACTGTAAATATTAGGTTCTTTTGTAAGACCACAGAGATTGTTTCCTGCTGTATTTGGTACATAAAGCATAGAGGGAAAGATCAGCAGTGATAATTTTTGTTGCTTTGGTATGATTTTTTAAAATTATTTCTTCTCTTGATAAAGTTCTAGCTTTCTGCTCACTACTGAGCACATGTCCCACAGCCAGCTACCCTAACATGCAGGGGCACAGATTGACTTTTGAAGATAAATGGATTTTTGAGATCTCCCTGTCCAGTTTGTTTTTTTTTTTTCTCAGAGGGAAAAACGTAAAATTTTTATTCATCTTGGCAAAAGTACAGTTCTGTTTCAGGGAGACAGCCCAGTCTGCATGGGTTTGGTCATGTTTCCATTACTGTGCTTGAGAACTTTAAGGATGGGTGGGAATTGTTGCAGTTATCTTTTATTAAAAATATCTCCCTTTTTTTGTCCTTCCTATCTCAGATTTAGCCTTGGAATCTAATCCATCTGATCATCCCAGAGCAAGCACAATTTTCCTGAGCAAGTCACAAACAGATGGTAAGCTAAGTTTTTTTTTCCAATTTAACAAAGAAAATGAAAAAATTGGAAAAGTAACCAAAAGTAACAGCTCAAGAACAGTGCTTCAATTCTTTCAAAGCATAGGGATTAGTAATTTATGTATTTACACAGAAACTTGTTTGTAGACTATTTTACTTAACACTTTAAATCACTTGATCTTTAAAATGCTTAACTATCAGATTTCAGAGTGCAGTTCTTACTAGTCTGAAGGAGCAAGGCTGTCTTCATTAGTGTAATTCAAGTTTCAAGCAATGGTGGGTTTTTTAATGACCAAGGACTGTTTCAAAAATTGTTTTAAAGTAAGAAAGTTGTAATTGAAAAAAAATTAATTTTTCTGTAATAAGTAATAAGCCTAAGCCAGTAGTCTGGTTGCTTTTGAATATGTTGTTTTAAACTGTTTTAATAGTTTCAGAGGATAAATATTCTCCAATCCCAGTTTTAATTATATAGATGTATTGGGATTCTCAATTTCTTTGCAGATCATGTATTTAAGTAATAACTCAATTTTCAATTTCTTTGCACATCCTGTGTTTTTCTCATAACTCAGTTTTGAAACAATTGCCATAGCTTGTGCATTCCAAAAGGCTGTTAAAAAGTGGAGGCATTTCTATATTGCACATATAAAAATTCTTTTGTCAAATTCTGACAATAGGACATTTTGAAGTTGCAACTAAAACAGAGTTTCAGCTGTTTAATCTTTTTTAAATGCTTCTGTTGCTTTTATGGCTGGTTCTTGTTTGAAGCACTGTTTTGCTAGGGAAGTGATGCACTTGAGGTTGCATGTGTTGATGGAAAGCTGCAGTGTGTCTTTTAACTTGGCGCAGCTTTGCCACAGAAAATAATTATTTTGACAGGTCTGTCAGTTGCTGTCGTGCTTCAGTCTTGTGGCAAGTGGTAGAGTTGTCAGTTGTATCCCCTCTGCAGGGCTCAGGTAATCTGTGAGCAGTGGGAACAAGGCTAGCCCAGTTCTCCAGAGGAGAGGATATCAAAGAGATGCACAGACCTTTTTTTGTGGGGCCTCTGAGGTCGGTGTTCAGGCAGCCAGGGGGCCTGACTGCTCATTTCAGACACCTCTGAGAGGAGCAGTGCTGGAGGTGCAGCTCACACTGCCAGAGCTCATGAGCAGTCACTGTGCAGCCTTCCAGCCCTGCTCTGAAATGCTCCAGCCACGAGAACAGCCTTCTTGGGGTAGTATTGCTTCTAAATCTCACCTGGATTTCTTCAAGTGCAATGTATTGAATTGTGTAGATTTGTGTTCATGCAGAAAATGGGTTCTCTAGGTGAGGTAGTAACTATTAAACTGTTCTCTGCAGTTTGTATTAAATTAATTAATTCTTATGGAGAAGTCAGGCAGAATAACTTATTTTCTAATGCCCCTTGTTCTACTTTAGTTGACCTTCCATAGAATAAGCAGAATTAATACCTATAAGTTCTCTCTCAGTGAGATGTTATCAGGATTATGAGTTTTGATTTATGAAAAAAGACTAAAAAAATGTGGATACTCTTTTCCAATTGTCAGTTTTTCTAAAAGTGTAAGGGTATGTGTCCTGCTAAAAAGTGGTGATGATCTGAGGTTAGAACTGTGGAGAGGTGCCTGTCCATGCAGGTCACATTTGTATACTTTGTGCATGTGTGCAGCTCTCCCTGACACTCTGCTGTCACAGCTGCAAGTTTAACCTTGCAGTCTCTTTTGAAAGACTAACCCAGTTTAAAATGATGAAATGACAAGGTTGCATTTGTATGGTAAATAGGTGCACAGCTTGTGCCAGCATCTTCTGTACAGTGAAATACCCTTTTACCTTCTGTAATGGAGGGAGAGAGAGCTAAATAATGCTGGGCACCTCACTTCCTCCTTGTGTGCCTTTGGCAGGCTCAGGGTGGGCTGGTTCTGCTTCTGTTTGCTGTTGGATGTTGGACATTGGCTGTTTGAAGTGTCTGAAATCCTCCTGGTTTTCATGATCCACAGCATCTGTTCAAAGCAGAGACGTTTTTCCCCTTAGTGTGATGGGGAGTAGTTGTTCCTAAATGAACATGTGGGTAGACAGAAGGAGTATGTAGCTTACTAGCTTGATAAAACATGGTATCTTTTCCTCAAACTACTTTTCAAGACACCTAAAATAAAATTTGAAACTTTTAATACTCCCATACTTTAGAAAACTAGATTAATAGAATTGCTTTATCGAATGTAAATTGGGAAACCTTTCAGTTCACATTATTTTTCCTTCTTTCTAGTGCGAGAGAAAAGGAAGAGTAACCATATAAATCATGTAAGTAAACTGGATTCTGTGTAAATAATATGAGGATATTTGGCCAAAGACAAATTCAAGGAAACAACTGTAGTAGTTCTAGGTATATAATCTTACACATGTTCCAAATCTTCCTTAGAAGGGTAAAACTGAATTATCTTTGCCTGTCTCTAAGCAATAAGCAAGCCCAATATCACAAAGCATAGAATGGCTGATTTCAAAAGAATAAAAATGAATTTTTTTTTGTCAGTTTTAAGTATTTCAGAACAGTAACAAAGAAAATATAAGCCAACCTGTCTGTATTTTTTTAAACAAGAAATAAAACTGCATTAATTTCTCAGCCAAGATGACAAGTCTTGAATGATTTGCTGCTTGAGTATTGCTTATTTTAAAAAGGACTTATTTTAAAAAGTGTATCCAGTGTGAAAAGAGAATAATGAGCAAATATCATCAGTATGATAATCAAGTGATTCTCCATTAGTTTTAAAATCTGAAATTACGCTCTGAGCTTCTTCCACAAATATTAGTTGGTTTGGAACTTCACTTCCTAAAAAAACAGCCAAAACAAAAAAGATGGAATGTCACTAATAGGTGGATAAAAAAATAATTGGCTAGTAAAGGTAAGAATGGAAGTTAGTAACAAAGCTTAAAAATATCAAAAGTGTCTACTGATAAAGTACTGGTAAGATAATGGTATTTCAAGTCTCTTATTTTGCATGATAATGCAAGGAGTGGGGGTTGATTCTTTTCTCTTTTCTTTCTTTCTCTCTGTCTTTAATATAATTCCAGCTTTGCTCTGCCAGTACCAAGGTGAAGTGTGATTGGAGTGTTTTTGCTGGCAAACTTCAGCTGGAATGGGAGATATTCCCAGGCAGCTGTTGAATTTTGAAGGGTGTCAGCATTTTCATATTGAAGATTTTCAAATTTTAGACCAGGCATTTAAAAAAACTGTGGTGAAAACTAATGAATCTTGAATTGTTTGATTGAAATTCCTCCCTCAATTATGATGTCCTACCTCTAGTGCAAGGCATTCTCTGCAAATGCTCAGGGAAGCCTGGGTAGGGTTATATTGAAGGATTTCTTACAGTACAGAATGGTCAGGATTAGGATGGATGATGGAGTATATTACTAGCTCTAAATAATAATGGTAAAAGTAAGGGTAATAGCAGTACTCTGCTTCCAGATTGCAGATGCTAAACAAGACATGTGTGAAGGGAGCCGTGTCAGAAAAGGTTTTTTTTCTTTGAAATGGTAACATGACAAACCCTCAAATGTTAAACTGGATAACCAGAAACTGGAAAGGTGTAGGGTGTAAAAGAAGGGAGAAGGTGGAGTCACAGGGAAACCTAATAGAGTACATCACAGAGGGAAGACTGAGACACTAACTGAGAATGGAATGGGAGAGAACTGGAAATCAGGACTTGCTGCTTTAGCTCAGCTGTTTCTGCTGTAAATTATCTAAAATCATGTTGTGTATTACAAGGGATGGTTTATAAATTTATCTTAGACAAAGGAACTAGATGGCTGCAGGGTAGCTTACATTGCAGTAGCAACCACTTGAGGTGTAAAGCCAGAATGCAGTGTGCTAAACAAAAGCTTACAGAATCCCTCTTCTTGAATGTATTTCAGTTCTTGTTTTCTTTTTTTCCCCCAAGGTTTCTCCTGGGCAGCTTACAAAAAAATACAGTTCATGCTCAACAATATTTATAGATGACAGCACCGTCAGCCAGCCTAACCTTAGAAGCACAATAAAGTGGTAAGGACCCTTCTCATCACCAAGGGCTTGTAAGAGTGGCATTGTAAGGGTTATTTGGGATTTTCTGGGGGTCTTGTCTGTTCCAAAGCAGCTACACCCTTGAAATGAGAGAAGCACAGCACTGCTGCTGCAGGTTGGTCATGGAAAGGGTGTGGAGCTCTGGGTAATTGACTGCTGGAGGGAGCTCTTGTTTCAGTCACAGAGCTGTCCTGTTCCAAAGCTGTTCTCATTGTGCACTTGAGGCAGTGCAGAAGTGTGTCAGCACTGTGGCTGTGGGTTTCTCTGGGTCTGCACTGAAGGCACTTGAGACAGTAATTCATGTTGGGACTCAGGCGTTTATTATTTCTTATCAGTAAAACTCTCACTACTGTGATCTGGCAGCTTTTCATTAGAAGGCACAAAATGGCCAACAATCTCTTTTTACAAGGTCTTTTAAGGCTAAATTATCCAATTAAGAACTGACACCTAGATTATTTTCCCTTTTAACCCAATAACTGATCCCAGAGAGCCCCCAGTGCAGACTTTTCTGCCCAATTACAAAATGCCACCCAAACCCATGAAGAAGAAGCATGAAAGAGAAACCCAGGACAACACCCTGTGCTCTCCATCTTGCTTCCATCCACAACATACTAAAAATCCCTAAACCTAAATTTCTCACCAAGTGATACACCTACACTACTTTCTGTAATCTGTTTCACACTTTTGTGGATTCTAGTCTATTTGAAGTCTAGGAAATTTTCTCCATGAATGAGGGTCAAAGTCAGTGCTCCCCTGGGGGTCAGGGGACCCCAGAGCAGACAGAGAAATATTCCCAGTGCCCTGGGTTTCCACATCTCCCCCTTCTCTCTGAACCAAAACCACTCCTTTGGCAGCCTCATCCATCAGCCATCGGACACGCTAAAGCAGACGTGGCACAAATGTTAAAAGGACTGTGACACCAATCAGTACGTACACACCTTTCTTCACAAATTCTCTCCATGCTGGTGCAAGATTAAATCAACTGAACACACCCCAGCCATGACCCATTCTCTTCCCTGAGTCTGGCCACTCCATCTTCTCACTGTTGTGTGCTTTCATGAATAGATTTTGAATGATAGACAAATTCATGCAACACATTCCTTCAAATTCCTCACATCCATGTCCATGCCCTAACAAAAGATAATGAGTTGCCACTCTGTTTTGCAGAGTCACCTGTCTCACACCTTGAACACCAGCTAATAAATTGCTCAGTGCCAGAGAGATAGCACGAGAGTGCTTACTCAGTTAACACCCCGTTTGATCCAATTGCTTCAGGGTTGCTCCTGCAGCTGCCTGTGGCAGAAGCTGTTACAAATCTCTGGATTTTTTTCCATGTATTAACATTGTCATCGCAACTGGGGTTGTATCAACCGACAGATCTTTTCCCTCTACATCGTTGTTCCCTTATCATTGTCATGTTGGGTGTCAGTAAAGAAAGTCTCCCAATGCTGCATGGACCACCTTAGACATTGGATGGGCTGGCAGGCCAAATTTTGTCCCACAAATGAAAAAGACTCCTTGTGGTAACTGCAATGGAACCCTGGTGGATGGTGTGATCATCCTTGCTGTGAAATTGCACCAAGATGTCACATTTCTGTATATAATGTGATTTGGGGTCACATCTGTTATTTTGTCCTTATTTTGTTTTGACCCAGGAAGACTAAATACTATACAGAAACCCACCTTCACTGAGCCAAGAATTTCCAGTTCTTGAGGTTCATAAAGAGCCTCAGGGAGAAATTTGGTCCAAACTCCCCTTGTTTCAACCATAAACACTGCATTGACAACTTTGTCAACCATCTGGCAGACACACATTTGACCACACCACCCCATATTTTGCTTAAGCTATCATCTAACAAAAATTCTACAACGTCACCGATTCTCACACCAATGAAGAAACCCGAAGTCCACAATCTCTGTGAACAAAGCACAAGGGTTCAAATGTCTGTGCAGCCCACATCTGTGTGTCTTCTTCCCTGCTTGTGGACTGGTCAGCATTTTCTTGCACTTGGTAGAGTTTCACATTCTTCACTGAAATCCACCTGGACTTTGTACCTGTTAAAACACAAACAAATCCACGTTCCTGCAGGGACTGGAGGATTTTCTCAAAATCCTGGAGGTGAAGAATGAGTCCTGATGTGAAAATAAAACATTGATCAATTCTGTTTTGCAAAATTGCAGAGAAATATAAGATACCAACATAAGTTGCTATTACTAATATTCTTTGGTTATGAACAGGAGAAAACATTAAGAGCAAAACAATGCATGTAGTAAAGAAGAAACTCACAGCAATTAGGAATCAATTAGATAATACACATAATCAATACCACAGGTGAAATCATACAGTTACCAAGCACTACAACAATGAACTGTCATCCCAGAGTCTGTGACAGCTGATAAACCTTAAAACAACAGAAAACTGGAGAAATCATGTCCAGATTCATGTTTCTCCAAACTCCCTCTGAAAATAGGCTCAGCTGTCATATATGGTCAAATTACCAATTGTTTTGATGCAGAAAACATCTGGGTTGATTATCAGTCACTCCATCCAAGCAGAGCTAGAGCTTGGCCAGAGCCCGAACTCTAATTGGTGGGTATCACTTAACACATTTTAAAACAAGACTCTTAAAAATAACAGTTATATGAATAAGAAACCTTAGGGTTAAAAACCAATCAAACCATCAAGTAATTGAATCCCTCCGAAGTTTCTGTCAGGATAGAGATTCTTCAAACACAGCAAATCTCTTCTTCAGCTGAATGAAAGATTGATTACCCAGTACAAAATTAATACTCAAAAAAGAGAAGTTAATGTTACAACTGAACTCTCTGCTAGAGTACCTCTGTAATAATAACTGAAGAAAACCATGAAACTGGCAGTGTGGATAAAAAAAAAAAACAAACCAAACATATGAGTAGTTAAAAACAGACCAAACATACGAGTAGTTAAGAAACAAAAAGGCAAGATCCTGAAGAGACATGTGTCTTGTAGGTGATCACACAAAGAGATAGTAAAACACATAAAAGCTGGCTGCAAATATTACAATACCATAATAGTAATTCTTAACACAAAAGTCTGATTATGATCAACTTATCAACAGGAAGTGTTTGAAGGGGTTGAGACAACTTTTATAAAGCATTCATATAACGTTAACAACAATCACTATTTATCAGTATTACTTATAAAAACCAAAAATAACAAAGGTTACAAACTCAGTACCAACAATCCCTAGAACTCTGAACCATTGGGGAGTCAGCTGATGACCCCATAGATAGGATCTGATTGACATTTCCCAAATGCTCTGTCTTCTGGGATTTTTTGGGTAATTGAATCATTACTAATACTTTTATCTTTACATGGTGGGAAGCACTTTTCACAATAGATGATTTCTGTCTATATCATATTTGGAATAACATTGATCTGCATAGTGTTCCCTTTTTTCTGCATCTTGGGCAAAGGCCTGGCGCTTTGGCACTTTTCACTGGTTCTGGACACTTCCTTTCCATGTATCCATATCTTCTGCATCTGAAGCATGGTCCTCAGGCAAATGCTGCTGCTGTCACTTCTGTGCAGCCAGCCTGTTGAAGAGCTGGGCGCAGCGCCTCGAGCGTTTCCAGGGCGTTTCCAGCGTTTTCTTGGCGCTGCTCTCGCCCGGTTCCGTCCCAGTGCCATGGGTTTCCACATGTGGGTTTGAAAGTGTTTTGAGATGGGGAGTTTAGGTCACACTGAAAGCCACATCAAGAAATTCTTGACCTGGGAAAACTTGAAATGGATTTTGTGTGGAGTTGCAGGAAAAGTTGTAGGGCTGTGTTTGGTACTTTGCAGTGATGTTAGTCTGCCCTCTAGTTGTGGAAAACCAGCATGTTGTTGACTTAGGGTTTAGTTCTGGCCTTTCTGCCTTTTCTTCACGTATTTGTTGTTTTAGGTAGGTGATAATTATGTTCTTCAGTGTAAATGGCTGCTGGAACTATTTTTCTGGGTACCAGAAAGTCAATTATTTGCACTTAGATGATACCAGCTGAGAATTGAGAAGAGAGTTTTATCAAGTACATTGAGGCCTAGAAGGCTTTACAGATTTAATAGTGTAGTAGAGTTTGGAAATGTCTAAGTTGATTTGTTACTTTAAAATTTGGGTTCAGACAAAGGTATGCAGCACGTCACTTCTCTTTTTCTAGAGAAAAACAAAACAAAAGCCTAAAAGCTTATGCTTGTACCATTTTGAAATGACGGTGTACATTTTGTACAGCTGACAGCAGATCAGAACTGTTCATGATAGGTTCCTGTGATGGCAATGTTCCTGTTACCACCACGAGTAAAGAAGCTGAAATTTTCCACAGTAGATGAGTGTTAATATATGAAACCTATTGCTTTACTTAGCAGAGACTGAAATCTGTTCTTAGCCACTTCTTGGATTCTGCTGGTATAATACCATCTTTATAATTCTCTTATTTTTAGACAGTTTCTAAGTTAGACAACTAGACAGGGTTAAAACATCTGCAGAATCTCTGCAATGGTATATGTAACTCCAAGGAGAACTTACATTTTAGTTGGGTATAGTCTGCATTTGCCCTAAATGAAGGTATATGTTGAAAATGTCACTTAACACTTACTTTTGTTGCACAGATATCTGTACAATGACTGTAAAAGTAGTTTGGCAGGCAGATTTGATTTGGCCAATTTCTGTCCAAACAGTTAAACAATCAGAAATGAGATGTGTAGTGCATGAGGATGGGAGAGGAGGTCACTGCAAAATGGATTTTTAACATTCCACTGAATGACAGCTTTTGCAGTGGAATAGTGTGCATGGAAAATGCTTTGTTAAGTCTTCTTTTCTTTTCTTTTTTTTAGTGTAACATTAGCAATATTCTACCATATAAAGAACAGGTGAGTGAACTCTTCCTTTGCTGAAATAGAATGACTTTCTTTTGGAACCAGGCATAAAATCATAGAATCACTAAGACTAGGAAAAAACTCTCAAGATCATAGAGTCAGATATGGTCTTGGTCACTTCAGTGACAGCTGGTGAAACTTAAAGGAGGTGAAAACTCTGGCACTGTGTGCTGGATGTGTTTTCTCTTTCTACCCCCTCTTGAGCAGCTGTGGAAGGGTCAGTAATGCACCCATCCAGTGGCACATAAAACTCCAAAACAGGGAGGGAGGAAAACACAGTTAACTCATCACAAATCAGCCTTTGGACTTTGTTCAGCTTTTCCTGAGTACAGAGGTATGGATTAGTTTTGATGGGTGAAGGAACACTCTGTCCATGTGCAAATCACTTCTGCCATTACAGCTAGTTCCAGCATAGGCTTCTGAATTAGAGCTGACTTTTTGAAGTAATGCTATTAATGAGTTTCACCTAGTTTCACATTTTGGAGCATGGAAAGCTATTCATTGTTTAGCATTTTAAATATTTAATTGTAAGGACTCACCATTAAATGCTTTGCAAAAATACAAGGTAGCTCCATTCCATATTATAGGAAAAGCTGAACAATGAAATATGTCCCTTGATCCTTTTTAATGAACAATCATTTTTAGTGGAACATAGTATTACCAATTAAGTCTTATTGCTAAACTGGAGACTTTTGTTTTGTAGAGATTCAGACAGATCATTGGATATTTTTGATGAAAAATCTCACCCTCTCACAGTAAGTAATTTTTTTGTCCTCTGAGTGTATGTCAGTAACATCTTGATTTATATGGTATAAGTCATAAAAATGTATTAGCACCAGGCCACAATCAAATTGATCTTAAATTATGTCTTTATACATAATACAAAGTGCAAGCAGTGACTTTTGAGATCAGCTGGATCATGAATAGAGCCCAGTCTAAATGTTACAAAGTATGTTGATTTTTATGCTTTACTATAAACAGAAACAATCATGTGCCCAGTTCTTTTGTATTCCATGTCTGAAGTTTCTTGTCTGTCTCTCTTCTCCCCCTCTTTAATAACTGCTTTATTAGAAGTGTTTTCTGTTTCTTTAGGAAGGCCTGGTTGGTAGGTATGTGCCTAACCTTTTACATGACTGCAGACAGGAGAATGTAGTACATGGAGCATCACACAAAGTAGGCAACAGTGAGCATGGCTCTTGAAAAACTGGAAAGGCAACATTTTAAGGCAAATGTGCTTGCAGTAACAGCAAGGAGCATTCAGGGTGTGATTTTAATGTGACTGGTCCTGATTCACCTTTTCAGACACTCCTAAAGATGCAAAACCTCATAGTACAGGGAAGCTCAAGAGTGGAGCGTGTGCTTTTCACGTCCAGTTTGAGCACCCCTAGCTTAATGCCTGTCCTACAGAACCACTTACTTTGTTTTTCATGTGAAATCAATTTAGTAAAGATTCAGCAGCTTTAAAAATTGAATTTGCTCTGGGACTTACCTGAATGAATGCAGGAGAACCTATTTTGTGGATCTCAATTGTTAATAAACAGATTTTAATAAACAAGTTAATATTTTAAGTTTGTTAAAGTTTCATCCTAAAATAGGACTGGCTGTGCAAGGAATTGTACAGTGCAATATAAATAAACTCTTTATTCAATTTTTTAAAAAAAGAACTTCAGGACAAGAGCTATATTCAAGATTTCTTGTATGGATTGTAGCACTTCAGAGCAAAAAGTGTGGACCAAAATTATTTTAATGTTGTGGTCGATATGATCACAATACAAAACACTCAATTTTCAGCAGCTTCAAATCCTTTTTTATTCTAGCATGCATGCTTTTTATACATTCTTTAAAAAACTTTTAAGTTTACACTTTACTCATTGGTCAGAAGAGACAAACAGAGTGCTTATTGGAATAGAGTTGCAGGTTGCTCTTACTTATCCTCCTCTCTTTCTTGGTTTCTGTGTCAATGACCTTGGTAGGCAATTCTTTCAGGGGTAAACATGGATCCTCTTATCAGACTTCTCTCTGGCTCAGAGAAGTCACTGTAAAACCTCTCCCACAATTTGAAATGCCTGAATCTGTTGTTTCGCACTCAAAATTATGTAAGATGAGCTCCATCAGACAATTTCTTTATTTAACAACCTGACATCCTTTGATCCTTTCTTATAGCCTCCCTCCTATTAAATGAGAAGACAATCATTGTGTCCTCTGGGGAACACTTGAAGGTCTCTTCTATCTTCCTGCAGCAAACAGCCAGAAATAGAGTTAGGGCTGATTGTCATACTTGTGAGGGAAAGGCACACATGGCTTGTTAGTTTCTATAGCAATGGTGTTTTGCCTGGGTACCTGCTGTTCCTTCAGGAAGGTTAATTAGCAGAAGCAATCTCTGAACACCTTGTCTTCTAAAGATGCAGTCACAAGGAGTCCAAACCCAGCTCTGCTGACCCTAATGGGACCCAGGTACCAGTGTCATGGATTTAGTCACAAACACGAGTCTTAGTGCTTCCTTTCTCACTTCCAGTGCCTTGGTTTGAGACAATTTAAAAGGAAAACACTCTGGAATAAGTTGCCTCTGTGTATAGGTTCAACCAATCCCTTTCCACCAATAAGGAATGAACACAAGTAGATGTAAGTGAAAAAATAACAGTTTACTAACAAACAAAACAGCAACAGACAAAGATTAACAGTAAATAACTGCTGAAAACCAAACTGCTGGATCTCACATCCTGGGGGATCAAGGACAGACCCAAAATGCCAGAAATACCCTTCCCAAGATGAGAAAGCCACTAACAGCAGTCTCTCTGAGACCAGGGAAAAAAACACCAAAAAGAGAACCCAAAATGGGCAAATCCTGTGCTCAAGGCAAGACCAGGCAGCTGGCAAAGCCAAGCTCACACAGCAGCAGGGCCCAGCTGCCTTCCAGAGCCAAGCCTAAAAGCACCTGGGACAGCATCCACCCATCCCCACCCATCCCCAGCAGGTCCTTAAGACACAGTGAGATTTTGGGCACAGATGGATGAGGAATACAATACCATTTTGGGTTACCTCAGGACATCCAGTCAACAAAAATGTACTTCAGATGTGCTTTTGTACCACGTGTAGCACAGGAGTGAGCAGTGTTCCTGCTCATGCTGTTCCTCATGCTGCATGGCCCCCCTGCAGAGGTAACCTCTGTTGCTCAGTGGTGTATTAGAAGGCTGTGTGGGCAGCACTAAGTTAACTTACATTCTGTACTTTACTTGACAATGCTCCCCAGTTATTTCAAACTACAAAACCACAGGAAAACACTGCTTTGCTTACCTTTCAACTGCTAGCTTGGTGTCAAGCAGCTGTGCTGTTCTCAGCTGCTGTGCTGACCATGCTTCAGGTCTAACTTGGACTGTAGAAGAAGTCCATTCAGTATCAGTCTTGCAGAACCAGTGTGCAGAGCTGGAGCTCTTGAAGTTTCATCCCTCCAGAAAAAGTGCTAAGTATCAGAACATATCTCAAACACTTACTTTAGGATTGCTTTTATGGACTGTTTATTTCTGAGCTTCTCCCCTGTGTTTAGAAACAGTTTAGCACTGTGTCAGAGTTAAATCCAGTTGTTCGTTAGTTTTGTTGTCTTTCTGGAGTCTCTCAAGAATGAGTCCTGTGAAGGCAGTGTAAATTACCTGTGACAGAATTACTGCCATGTGTTCTTCAGTGCTTCCTCAGCTGGAAAAGGAATCTCATGAAGTCTGTTAATTTTGCCTTTTGAAGAGCCATCGTTTCCCTGGTGTGCATATACCTGTGATTTTCTTGCAGGGAGAAGTTTTTTTCTTTTTTTACATCTCTTTCGGTGTGAAGAATGTTCCATGGACAATAGTTAGCACCTAGCAGTGATGATGGTAGTTCATGCTCTTTCCTGTTGGCCCTACACCTACAGATCAAACAAGTGTTCAGAAAAGAGAGACCAGCTAAAGCTCCTGTGTTTTGCTTGGAATGTTTGCAATATTGCAGGGCTGCTTCTTTCAGGGTATAAATCTGTGACAGGAAATGAGTGTGAAACAAGCTCATTTGGAGTCAGTGTTAAGTAAGCAGCTTTTCAGTAACTCCAAGAACTTTGTTTCAGCGGGAGGAGGTCCCAGATGACTACTACAAGCACGACCCTGACCACAAGCACATCTACCGCTTTGTCCGGACGCTCTTCAGCGCGGCGCAGCTGACAGCAGAATGTGCAATAGTCACACTGGTAAGGGCACTGCTGCAGCTCCTGCCCTGCAGGGCTTTCCCTCTCCTCCTGCAGAGACCTGGGCTGAACTGGCAGTGAAATAGGTCAGAGTATCTCGTGAAACCCTGTTAAAGACAGCACAGTACAGTGAGTTCATTATAGATTTCTAAGTAGTCACAGAAGTGATTAAATAAAAGGGCAATTCCCTTTTCTGTATATAAATATGTAATGCTTAATTACTTGCCCAGTAAAACCCTGTTGGTTTCATAATACATAACTCACTGAAGAAGCTTGAGAAGAGCAGAACAGTGGGATGCTGTAAACTGGGGTGTGATTAGGTCATACACAAAGACATTTTTTATTTCAGCTGTGTGCAGGGGAAGGTGTTAGTTCTGAGTTCATATTAACCACAAGAGTCTAAAGGGACCAAGAGTCAATCCTACAGGAACTCTAGGAGAGGATCTTTCTCATTATTATGTCCTTCAATCATTGCCATCTTTTTACCAAACTTTTTTTTTAATTAAGCCAAAGAGGCGGTAACTTCTTTCCCCAGGTGAGATGAAGGTGCTTAGAATTTAAGAACAATATTACATTACAGTTTGTTGTTTGATTTCAGAAAGCATGATGGATTTAAAAATTCATCAATTACAATTATTTTATATATATATATATATTTGTGTGTGTGTGCATATATGTATATGAGGAAGTTTAATTGCTACTTTAGACTGTCTCTCAAACTGCACTTTGTTGCACTAAACTTCAGTCTTCATTGTGGATTCTTTCTGAAAAACAGTGGGAAAGGAGAACAGAATTGTCACCAAAAGACAGTATAGCAATTAAGCAAACTCAGCTTGAAATACTCTCTTTAATAAGGAAATGAGTAATTTAAAAAGCCAAATATTTATGAGCTGTTGAAACTCTGAAAGTAGTTGGAGGTTTTTGCTTTTTCAAAGACAGGCAAGCAATTCTGACAGAACAAGATGACAGGTAACCCTGGGCAAACTATGTGAAGTGTTTACAAAAAATGGAGTTAGCTTTTAAAGTGAATTTTACCACTAGATGGCCCTGTTATTATAGGAACACCTCTAGGCTATTGGAAGGCTACAAGCCAAGGATGGGAAGAAAGCATGGAGAGAACTCAGTGACAAAGATCAGTCCTTCCCTTCGACCTTAATAAGTGAAAATTCCCTTACCCACTAATTTAGCTGAAGCTACATTAGAAATTTGAATTTAGATGAGAGAATATAAAATTAAAACAATTTCTATTCAAATTTGAAAGTGCATATTTCTTAGTACATAGATCAGTTTTCAAGGAAGAGAGAGATTCAACATCCTGGATTGATTTGAGATCTCATGGGAGGAAAAGACCAAGGCACATCTTTGGGCTTGTCTCACTGCCTAAGCTACAAGTGCTGAACCTGAGTGAGGATGAAGGGTTAATGTGGTGTGGAGTGATCTGCTCCCTGCCAGTGATGTGTGACTGGTGACAGAGCTGGAGCAGTGTCTCCCCAAAGCAACAGTGCTCATTGCTCAGAACTCTCACCTCACTAGCTATTGTGTGCCCTGGTGGTCCAGCTCTTGGGGGAAAATAAAAAATGGAACCTGTAGCTCCTGAAAATTTGGATTCTTAAGTGTAAGTAGTAATGACTGATACTTATGTTGACACACTTAACAGTAATAAATAGTCCTATTGGGCTGGCATGTTTGCTGCTCAGCTCTGCTCCAGGTCTTAATTACACACATATAATTGTGGGGTTCTGTTGTTTGGTTATTTTCCCTTTTTCTTTGTATAGGTTTATTTGGAAAGGCTTTTAACCTATGCAGAGATTGATATATGCCCTAGTAACTGGAAGAGGATAGTGCTAGGAGCTATTCTGCTGGCTTCTAAAGTCTGGGATGATCAAGCTGTGTGGAATGTGGATTATTGCCAAATACTGAAGGACATTACTGTTGAGGACATGTAAGTTGCAAGGTTTGGGTGGTCTGCAGTGGTGGGGTTTTGGGGGTTTTTTTTGTATGTGATTTTTTTGTTGTTGTTTATTTAGGGTTTTTTAAATAGCACGTGATCATGCTGAAAAAATCTCTCTCTGTTGCTATGATATGTATATATATATAAGGTGTATATTTAGTGTCTGGCCTCATTCTCTTTTTTACCTCAAGAAACTTTGGATAATTACCCTACTTTGAGACAAATCTCTATTAATAATTTTAATGACTTATGTGAGTGACTGCCAAGTTAGTTTTCTTTACCTTCTTAATCTCAGTGATGAGCCATGGAACTAAACTGCCCAATTTATAGTCTTATCAAAGGGGGTTTTTACAAGGAGGAAAAAAAAGTGAACTAAATGTGTCCCCTGCGTTTTCTGTTTTAGAATTTGAATAATTGCAAGGTAAACCATAACTTGGGACTCCCATGTGTGCTTGTGTGTCCAGTTAAGGCCTAAACATCCCAAGGTCTGAGCTCCAGTGCTGCTGCTGGCCAGCAGGTGTTGTGCAGGCCACAGCTACTGCTGCAGCTTATCCTCTCTGGCTCGGTTCTTAGATGTCCTTACAGTGCTGAAAACAAAGTCCTCAGTCTTATTACTGCTTGTTTTTGTAAGGCTGTTCCTTAGATGTATTTTTGTCTCAGACATCCATTTCATTTTTTCAGAAATTTTGCATCTGCTGTCTTTTCTTGCTGCACTCAGCTTTAAGCCAGATTCTGCAGTATGGGAAGATACTCATCCTCATGGCTCCAGGCTCATACCATGGGCTGGAGCTGTGTTTATGTGAACTGTAGTTAGACCATTAGGTTTTCTGTTAAATTCCTTCTCACAAAGTTTTATCTCAGAGCTTTGACATGTCAATATTTTTGTTTTAATTCTGTTTGCTAGCTTGTTCTCCTATTTCTCTTATTATCACAGGTAGAAATTATACAAGTCCAGCTTAAACGACCAGGCATTCTGGCCTTCCTTTCATGAGATGCTTTGTGTGTGTTTGAGTTGAATCACAGGGCTGTGCCCTGAGCACGTGTGCAGGCCTGTGCAGTGACAGCCAGTTGTAGCACAGGAGCAGACTGAGCTGGCAGAGCTCTGCACACAGCACTGGGAGGCTGCCTCTGTCATGGGGCAGTGCCCTTGCTCCAGGCTCTCTTCCCTGGATTCAGCCCAAACTGGTGTTTCAAATACAGTAAGTAATTATTCATTTGGGACTCTTCAGGAGGAGGAATATCTACTTTCCTCCCTTTTAGGTAGGGGGCTGTATTTCTAAAAATGAGGGAATTTTCTGCACCAAAACAATTTTTATTATTCAAATTATTTCACATCTCAAACAGCAGCCACTGTTACTTGTTTTATACATACCCCTTGCCTGGGAGTCCTTTGTCTCAAAATGCAGGACACTGCCAGCTCTGCTTTCAGGAAAGCATAATTAGTGATTTTATACAATGTACATCTCCACTTAGCCTGGCCCTGAGTACTCATCTCTCTGAGGAACATACTTTAAGCATTGCTGCAAATAACTCTGAGATGGCTGAAGTGGGGTCAGCAAAGCCAGAAGTGCTGGAGTGTACATCTTGCTCTTTTTGATGTCTCTTCTTCTAGCCCTATTTGGGACAAATCAAATTGATAGCACAGAAAATATCTTTAACAAGCAGGATATTTATCCTCTATTGCCAATGCTGGGTCTCTTGCAATTGTCAGTACTTGCATTTTCAAAGCAGTGATGGTGGTAAGGAAAATAGATGGAATTTAGGCTTTTTTTCCCTCTCCAATTTGAGGATGGGATTTTTGTAATCCCATCTCATTTGAGATAATTTAGACCTTTGAATTTAGGTATGGGCAGACACTGTACTACCCCCTTCCTGACAGTGGCACAGGGTGTTCATCCCAGGCTCTGCAGCTGGGCAGACTTCAGCACTGCTTGGCTGGATAACATCACCATTTTAGGGACCTTGGAAAACTGCTTCAAATACTTGGCAGTATTTGTTTTAAGTTTACAAGCCTACCTTCAATTCATGGTTGGTACATAGTTACTGTGAGTTTTAGTAGTTGCAGTATTTTTAAACCAGTCATTTGATAATGAGTATTCCAAATACAAATGTTAGTGAGAGAAAATAATAGGCAAAGGATTTCAGTCACAGTTGCATTCTAATGTTGGAGATGGCTGGTGATGCTGCCAAAAAATCCTCCCAAAATCCCAGCAGCTCTGCAGCTAAGGGCAGCTTGGCAGGACTGTGCCAGGTGTCACGCCCTGGGTGAGGATCCCTGTGCAGGGACAGCCCGTCTCCAGGAGCTGGTGGCAGCTTCTGTTTGTGAGCTCCTCTGCGCTCTCTTGGCTCTCTCTGTCTAGAAGGATCTCACTAACCTGCCAGATGCTCTTGTTGAACCACTGCAAGCCAGGCACAGGGGCTGCCCCACTCTGGAACTGACAGAAGGTTTTATGTCTGATTTAGTTCACCCAGTTTGCAAATCTGTGTGTGTGTGTGCTTACAAGCCAGGCAGCCCTTGTGAAGGCAGCACGGCTGCACCTCCTCCCCACCAAACTCTGCCTCCACTGCTCAGAGTTGTGCTGGCAGTGCCCCCAACAGCTTTGGGGTTTTCAGGAGCTGGTTTTTAGGGCTCCTAGGTTCTGAAGGGATACAAGATCCAGGCCTGGCAACTGCCACATGTGGTCATTTGCCTTTGCCTCATCCTACTCAACACAGCTGAAGTGTTTATCTTAATTTTTCTATCACAAGCCCATTTCTATTTGCCCAAGGCAAAGGTGGGTTTTTTTAATGAAAGACATTGTTCTTTGGGGTTTTGGGAGATAGTTTTTTGTATTGTTTTACTTATTTCTAATGGGGGAAAAAATCAAAGGAAATTCAGTTGACATTTGGAAGTCATCCTTTGCTCGCTTTGATGAGACCAAATCCATAATTGCTGAAAAATTAACAGTACAGCTGCTAATCTTGCCATGATTGTTTGTAAGGGGACACATGCTGTTCATTCTTTAGGCTACATATATTTGTAAATAAGGCACAGAAAAAACATGGGCATTATCCTTTCCCAGGTTTTAAACCACTGTTAATAGACTTGTTAATCCAATGAAGAATTGTATTTTTACAGAATTAAAATGTATTAGCCTAGTGAGTACAAAAGGGGCAGTGAAGAGCATTTACTCACAGGGTAAATCAACCTCTGATCAGCTGATCATCAAAACATTATCTGATTTACATTTCTATAGGCTTATGACCATATGAACAGGAAATTAATTTTGGCACTAGGTTCAATGATACTCGAGTCTGCTATGCTAGAAAGAAACACAAAGCTGCTATTCATACTGAGACCCACCACCCAGTACAGGACAACACAGATGATTCCTTGATTTATTTGCCCCACACTGATAGGTGAAGCATCCATTTTAGAAGCTCGCAAAAAAGCAGTAACAACCTTGGCACTGTCATGGTGCAGCTCATCCTCTGGTGTATTCACAGTTGGCCTGTACAGCTGCTAAATTCTGTTGAAACAGGTTTGCTACCTGTAGGGGCTGTTGTTGAGTTGTTGTTGAACTGAATTGCTGTGTTTGAGTACCACCAGTTTCTTTTTAGGTTAATTTGTAAAACATTGTTTCTCCTCTGTAGAATATCTCTGCTTTAGCTGACCACATTACAGTAGCTGAAGCAGTTTTTTTCATGTCATGGCACTCTCCACACTTTCCTCCAAGTATTTTGCCCAGTGAAAACAGACAAGAGTAAAAACTGGACAATGCCCTTTGACATAGTACTTTGTTATCCTGCCTAATGCTATTGAGGAGAAAATTCCTTCTCCCACCTAATGCTGCTTATTTATTTATTTATTGGAGATGAATCCATGTTGCTTCAAGAGGCTTTTTTCTGTGAGATAATAGCAGCAGCTCTTCATAGATCCATTTGTTGCCGTGGTGATCTGCCTACTCCTTTTGTTAGTCCGCCTCTGCTTCAATAAACCCCCTTCCTGTTATCAGCCTGGTGAAAATGTCTGCAAGTTCTTCAGAGCTAATAAACAGCATACATCATTCCTTTCATCTGATCACTATAGCGTGGAGCCGTATGAGAGTGAGAATGGCGCATGAATTGTACAGCTGCACTAATGGAACTCGCAGGACGAAGCTCCCGCTCCGCCGGGCGGGTGCACGCAGGGCACTGCCTTCTGAGCCCAGCCCGAGGTGCCAGCACTCAGAAGCTGCACCTTGTTTGGAGCACCAGGCAATGACCTGTCTCTCGAAACTAATAATGCACAGCTCTCCGTGACCTGTTTCAAAGTTGCTGGGTTTAAAACAAGCTTGAGGTCTCTTCAGTGTTTTCAGCCAGCTAAAAAAATTTTTTTTTTTCCTTTGTCTCCTGTCCTTACGCCTCCTAGGAACGAGATGGAAAGACACTTCTTGGAGCTACTGCAGTTTAATATCAATGTTCCTGCCAGTGTTTACGCCAAATACTACTTTGATCTTCGCTCCCTAGCAGATGACAATAACCTGAGCTTTCTGCTGGAGCCTCTCAGTAAAGAGAGAGCACAGAAGCTGGAGGTAAATGGTCTGAGAGTGGCTGAGCTGGGGACTCCTCTCTCTTGTATGAGTAGTAAGAGCATCTGTTGCTAATCATGTTAAGTGGCAGTTAGAAAAACTAAAAAGCTTTTAGATTAGTGTATTACAGGGTAATTTAACCCTTTTATAAATACAGTTAGCACTTCTAAAACCATGCATAGGCTAAGCTAGAATTCTGAGGAAAGGAAGGGTTTTGGGAGAGATTGGAAAAGTCTAGCAGATAGCAGAATAAAATGGATGTTATTTTGGGAACCGTAGTTCAGCTAGGCTACTTAAGATTGAAAGGATTAGTGTCATATGTAATGGATTGTCTGTCCTTCCCTGGTCACAGTCTGTATTCCAAGCACCTAGAGACAGTCACACTCAGACCCTTCTAAATACTACCAGCTGAAGGTTTCCCACTGCATCCCACTGCACAGCTGCTTTTAGATTTAGAGGGAGCACTCTTACTGCTCTCATGCTCTAATAAACAATTTGGGGGCAGCTGTAGAAATAAGTTGTGGCTTCCCACCTTTACAAAGAAACGCTGCTTTAAGATAAACTTTTGGAACAGCCCCTTGTTGGGAACCCTTCAGAATGCCCCGAGGGGTGTAAATGCAGATTACTGTCCCTTTCTGCTCCATGGAAGGGCTGCCCTTGTGGGGAGGCCCCGCGGCCTTCCTGGCACGAAGGCTCGTTTTAAAAAGCTTTAACTTCTGCAGAGTCAGTCTTCCTAGTTGCTGGAGATATGTAAGACTTTTTGAAAATATACAAATTACCTGGGTTCCCAGGGAAATTTCTTGTTGGATCAATGCAACCTTTCATCTGTCCAGGTTTAATTGATGACTCTGCATGTTGTTTTGTTGACCTTTCAACAAAAGCATTACCACAGGCCCTGTACACACTGGTACCACAGTCCCTTTCAGAGAGGGGTGTGCTGCAGATTCTTGGCTTATATTGTTCCATTGTCCACCCCCAATAATTCTGCCAAGGGCTAGGGATTTTATTTTGTCCCATAAGTGCCTGAACTTCAGGAGTAAGTGGGATCCCTCCTGGTCCTTTGGAATGAGAAGTATGATATGCCTATGAATTCCTTTATTTAAAGTTAAGCAATGCAGCTCTTCTGCTTTGTCTCACCCTTGTTACTTGCACTTTAAGCTAACACTGTCACTAATTGTAAATGTGGTTGTAGGGCAGTTCATAGTCCACAGGAAATTGTTTACTGAACTGCTCAGTGCCAGGGCATAAGTGGATGATTTACAGATTGTGAGCCTGTTTTGTTTCTTCTTTCTTAGTATTTGGGGGCTTGGTATTTAAAACCAGAGTAATTTTAGACCACTTTGTAATTTGCTATCATGCACTTACTAATGCATGTATATTGGACATTTTGGGGTTTAATTCTAAAATGTGATAAATATTTAGACTATTTGCTAAAATTTTTAATTCTACTTTTCAGTTAGAGGCATATAAGCAGCTGATAGGAGCTTGTATAAAGCAGTGAATTAGTGAATTCCAGAAACTGAAAACTGATTTACACCATATGGGCAACTGGGGCTAAATATGTCAACACAGGTTGCTGTGTGATTGATGTGCTAGCATTAGAGCAGGATGGAGAGTCTGTCTGGTCTTGCACCAGGAGCTCATGCCGCCAGTGTCTCAAAGAATGCCACTCTTGAGCCAAATGCATGCCTCCAGAAGGTCAGCAGAAATAAATGTAAATAATTATTTTAAAATACGCTTAGAACTTTATTCATGCTCAGAGTGCTTTTCACCTTTTGAACTTGCAGAACACTGGGCTGTGCTGAATGGGTGCTGGCTTAAAGGGAAGGTGCAGGCTTGCAGCTGATCACAGGACTCTGAAAGTTCATCTGGTGATAGGTGGTAAATTATTAATGGAAGTAAATGTTCAGGGCTGAAATTCAGTTTGTTTTTTTTTTTATTACAGGTATCCTTATTAATTTGCATTGATAATGCCTGAAGGCTCCAATCAGAAACAGGCCTTGCAGGGGAGGAGACAGTATTTTTTGACAATTGTCTTACTAGGATTTAAGTAACTAGTTTTGTTACTAGAACAGCTAGATAAGCAGGGCAAAGGCAAGCCAATAAATTAATGAAAAAGCAATTCAACACTGGATTGTCTACATGTGCTAATATGTAATTGCTATAGTAATGTACCATGGCTGCCCTCCCATCTCAGATCATGGGGGTGATCCTGGTAAGGGAGAAAATGTTGGGAGTGAGGGTGTAGAGAAGGTAAAGGCAAAACAGACACGCTAGTAGAAATTCATTTCCTTGGCTTGCTTGCCCTGAGTGGCCAAGTGTAAGATGCCCAAGGGAGCACAGAAAGCTTTTCAGTTTGAACCCTTTTTCTCAGAGAAATGCCTGTGTGCATTTCTGCAGTGTTGAAATAAAATTTTTGTGCTGCTGCATGCACCAGACCTAGCTACTGGGGTAATTTTCAACATAACTTCCACAAACTTAAGTCTGAACTGGATCCAAGTTTTTCATTAGATAGTAAGACTAGTGAAATAAAGAAGGTGCTTGCATGTGGAAACCACTCACCTTCTTTAGGTCTACTGTTCTGATAGCCCATGTTTACCTGGGGACAGACCCCATTACTGTTTTCCCTCCAGAGCAGTCCTTATTTATTGTCATTCTGGAGAAAAGCCAGAAGTGTCACCGCTGCAGAGCACCTGTGCTGTTGGAACTGCAGGTGTAAAACCTCCCTTGGAACGTTCAGACCTCCCTAATGCGGGTTTTGCATTTTGTGTGTGTGTGTGGTGTGCAGGCAATCTCCCGGCTGTGTGAAGACAAATACAAAGACTTGTCCAAAGCTGCTATGAGACGATCTTTCAGTGCTGATAACTTGGTTGGTATCCGCCGTTCTAATGCCATCCTCTCGTGAGGAGAGAGCGAGGAGCAGCACAGGAGCAGCACGCCAGGAGCCGCAGGAATCACCACTCCACGCACGCCAGCCAGCCCGGACGGCGGCTTCAGCAACGGGAGGCGAGAGAGAACCAGCCAAGGGAGCCCAGCGCTTGAGGAACACACTTGGTGCAAAAGACAAGCCCTTTGTCAAATCAACTCTCTCCTCCTTCTGATGTATCCAGAGGTGCAAAAACAAACTTATCTCCTTCTCTCCCCCACAGACGTTTGCTTACTATGTAGGCCTATAGCTGTGAACTCTTGAGGTTTTTAATAATAAGTAGTTTTAAATTTTAGAATTTAAACACTAACCACATGACTATAGTTACAATGTTCTTCCCTCCTCTCCCCTGTCATCCAGAGTCTTCGCTGCATTTGTATTTCAGGTCAATGCAGTGTTAACAAAAACAACACACGGGACTCTTAAAGTATAAAGCCGCTCTGGAGCTGAAAACAGTAGCATAGACACGTGTTGATGGCTTTTCCCTGGTTTGGCTACTAAAAGCTGCTATTATTGGTGATGTGTTCATACCAAGAAGCTGCCCAGCAGGAAGGAATTCCATCTCTGCACCCACAACTTCACTCCAGTAAAGATTGTCAAAAGACTTTGAATGTTTTGACTGGGGGCAGAGATACGGTTTTATGTATTGTTAAAATGTATAGGGTCCATGCTGCATTTCTTGTGAATTATGGTGCTTCTCTTATTTTCTAATACTTATATTGCTCTGGAAGAGATGTAATCTGTGTATTTTTCTGAGGCATTGAATGAAAAAGTTGGTCTGGAAACATCATCACCATCCCAAACAGTGTAGCAATCCAGTGGTGAATGGCGTGTGTGCAGCACTGCTTCTCTGAGTTCTACTGCAGATCTCTTGTGCTATATACAGTGAGTTCCTAAAGCTGATATTGTGCATCCATCTGGCTCTCCTTGGGTTTCAGTTTCCTGGGAGGAAGTTACATTCATAATGAGACAATAATGAGTTTGAGAATCCTGGACTACCTATCAAGGTAGATGGAAAGATATTGTGTTCAACTGAGAATTATCAAAAAGCTTTCTATAAACCTTTTTTTTTTCCCAAAGTGAATTTTATCTTGTGCAACTGCTCTAGAGGCTTGGGGTTTGCTCTTTCTGAGACTTTAGAACAGAGCTTACTTTAAAGCTCTGTAACTGAACTCTAAACAGGATAAGTATTATTGTAGACTCTTCCTGTTACAAGTCTTTGTAGTATCTTCCCTTCTTGGATCCAAATAGGTTCTAGGCAGTGTCCTAGGAGCAGATTTCCCTCCGAATGACACGGGTTTTGTGCACTTCCTCTTACGGCCAAGGCCCAGAAACTTACACTGAACAACAAGTCCATCTGCCTTTGGGAGTGGGGCTGTGTGAGTGCCATCATCAGTGTGGCTTCACTCAGCTGTTCAAGTGATGCATACAGCCTTTTGCAGTATGCAAATGTGCCAGCCCCTGGCTCCCAAACCCATGGGACTTGGCACTTCAGGTATTGATCACAATTCAATACTGAAAATAACACTACATCTTCAGGTGGTTTTCCTTTCTCATGTTTGTATTAAAAGAAAAGCTAATAAACTCTATTTTAATTAAAGTTAAAGGTGAAAGGTGTGTTCTGTACAGCTGTTGGATTCCACTGCCCCACAAAAAAGGAGGGAAAAGAAAAAAAAGAGAAACCCCAGTGGTGTGTGTGAAAGCCTCTCCATTGCCCCACCAGCCTATCACCTTCATTTGGTCCCCAGAGGCTGGCACTGTCTGGCAGCAGACTCCTGGGAAGGGTGCAGCCCTGCAGGGCTGCCCAGATCTTCCCACATGCTCTTTGGATTTAGAATTTGACCGGGCTGCTCAAACAAAACCACTCACTGACAGTTTCTTTGCACTTCAGTGGGCTTTAAGTCAGTCTCTCTGGAGGCGACTTGGTGGTGTTTAAGTCCTCCCTTGAGGAGCACTAAATTGGAAGCTACAAGTGACCAGCTCCTGGATTGACTTGTGACCTAATTGCTAACGAGCTTTGCTTCCCTTGGCACGGCCAGGTGCCCTCAGCTGTGTGGGATCAGCCTGGTGCACTCTGCTGTGGGGCTGCTCCAAAAGCAGCCACTCACTGGGAGCTGCTCAGCAGAGACTGGGGCCACTCATTTCCCTTTTCTCTCTTTCTCCCTCCAAGAGATGGAGACTCTTCCTGCTGATCTGGATGGCAGGTGAATGACATCTCAAGCTGATGGCTGCTTTTGCAGTACATCCTGCAGGAGACAGCTGCTATGAACTTAATTTTGCTTTGACTATTACATGGCTTTAGTTTTACTGTAGCCCAAAGCACATTATCAAAGGGATTTTGATTTGTTCAGCAGATACTAAGCAGGTCTGAACTCCAGCTCAGCTTAAGAGGAAAAAATACCAATTCTGTGAAGGGGAAATACCCTCCAATTTGCACTACTCTGTATGCTGGCAACACTTTTCTCAAAGAGGCAAAAGAAAAATTACAGTCATAGTCCGAATATTGAAATTACAGAGACTGTTACCAATCTCTGCTCCCAGGGAAGAGAAACTGGCTATGGGATCAATATACCTTGTTTTTCTTAATCCAATAGCTGAATAATAGTTAATCTGTGTTGAGGTGACCTCTGCCTGCTTTGAGTTCCAGGGCAGCACTCCCCATCTGGCAGCAAATGCTGTTTGCAGAGACAATAGCTGTGTTATGGCCCAGCAAGAGTGATGTGAGCACCAGCCAGACTAGCAGGAGCAGTGTGTGTTAGCAGGGGCAGGAGGCCATGGAGGTGTTAGTGGGTACAACCCTAACCCTTCCCTTTGTGTACAGGGACTGTGTATTTGGTTTCCTAGGGAATTTTATGAGAACTACTTCAGTTTGGGTTTGGCAGTTAAGAGGACAGGCACTTGAGGATGGAATAAATGTCAAGACCACTGCTCCTGGATAAGAGTAGAGGTGTCAAGCATACCCTGAGCAAGCAGAATTGGACAGAAGAGCCATTGAGGCAAGAGCTTGCACAGGAGGTTGGCAGGAGTGCTCAGGGCAGGGTGAGCTGCTCGTTCACAGCTCAGCACTGAGCAGGCTGCAGCCCCCACCTGGGATTTCCCACAGCACCACAGTGCAGGACTATGACACAGAACTGGTATTCCACATCATTACCTGGGAAAATATCCTTGCACCAAATAAGCTGTTTGCCAGCATAGAGTGAATTACAGGGTGCTGCCAAAGTGACTGTAGTGCCCTTACTAACACCCACCCCCAGAGGACTGACAAAAGAGCACTTAAATGGCAGAGCATGGGCCTGTTTGTCTTAGCATGAGGAAAGTCTCAGGCTGTCTTCACAGACAAGGCGTTTTCTAGGTCAAATAACTTCTTTGGCTTCTGATGAGTATTAAAACCTATTTGAAGAGCCACATGGTCCCCATGCCATCAGACCTTGCCATTCCCCACACCACCCAGCCTGAACTTGTGCTGCATCTCCACCTTTCAGCCCCAGGGAAGCCGGTGACTGCCTCGAGGGTGGCTTAAATGGACCAAGAGGAACCTGGAGAGTCCAGGAGCACAAGCACAGGCCAGCTGTGAGGGATGACGTGTGTGCTCATGGGGACACAGTCCTGCAGGTGATTCACACACTGCCTGCAGGAGAGGCCCTTCCCTTGCTCGGAAACAGTGGCTGGAGGTAGGCAGTGGATGGCAGTGCTGCCAAACTCCTGTTTACCGAGTTGCTGAGGACACAGCAGCTTCCTGCAGGCAAGAATGGCAACCAGGCTGCCAGCAAGGTGCTGGAGTTACTTCCGGGAGCAGGCAGTGAGTGTCCACAGCTCCTTGAGAAGAACCTGATGCTGAAATGGTTCATGTTCCCTTCACACCCCAAAACCGCTGCCCTTCAAGCGATAGGATCAGTCTCAATGGTGTGTTTTGCCTGTACTTGAGCATGGGGGGCAAATCCCTGCAGAATCAGGTGAGTCAGGCTGTGGGACTGTCAGGTTTATCACTGGGTGCTGGAATGCTGCTTCCAGGTGAGAGATCCTATCTGGTGGGACCTGGTGTGTGCCTACACACCTAACTAGATAGCAGAGTCCTGCACCATTAGTCACCACGGAGCCAGCCTTAACCCCTTGCTGTCCCTCCCCAAGTGCTCCTCGCAGATGGAAGCACGGCCACCCAAAGGGGCCGGCGTGCAGCATCCTGCTTGGCTAGGAGCTGTCATCTGCTTGGCCTTAGGAGTGCCAAAGGGCACCTCTTCAGGGCCTGATCTCAGCACAGGGCAAGGGACAGTGCTGTGCACACTCTGCAGAACGCCAATAAAAGTTGATAGTTAACCCTCTTTCAGCAGCGAGGCGTGACCTTGGCCTGTCAGGGAAGGCGCTGTCAGCGCGGCCACGGGCACAGCCCCGAGCACAGAACCCGGCTCAGGGCAGAGCCTGGCACTGAGGGCACGGATGTGTGCCATCCTCCGTGCCAGGGGCAGCGCTGCGTGGGGTTCCTGCTCATGGAACGTGCCATTCCTGTGCCACGCAGTGCAGCTGCCTCACCAGTTCCCCACGATCCCCAGCGATAAGAGCCCGGCTCGGCCCTCCAGCACACGCCTCCCCCTCCCCCAACAGGTAAGCTTTTAAGGTAATTAAACACTCTAACAGAAGCAGAAGTAAAGAAAACAACACACACTATTTTTTTATCCTCATAAATAACTAATCTTGATACTTCTCTTTGAATAAAATTTCTTCAGCTTTTCACATAATATAGTACAGTTATTTAAGCAACATTGAACAGCATGGGTAATGGAAGAGGCAAAACCCAACATGTAAATTGGCTACAGCAGACAGGGCACACAGAAACGGCTCCTTCCCCCCTGCCACTTGTTGCTGAGAAGCCAGGCTCAAACACGAGTTGATTGTATTACCCTACCATTACATCAAAGCTGAAAACGCTCTCGCATTTTTCAATAGGCAACGGTTTGTAGCTAATCTTAGATTTCTTTACACAGTCAGTTGCACTTTGGAAAAAAACAAAAACAGCAAAATACCACCTTTGACATGGTTTTGTTCATTGTATTGCATGATGTGTGTTTAGCTGTATCTACAAAAGGCACTATAGAGAGAGAGAGGAGTCCAGCAAGGTGTGGACTGGAGGAAATTGGAATCATTTAATGCCCTGGATTACAGCACGAGACTACCCACAGCGTCTCTGTGCCTGACCTGCCCCACTGCTGAGAACACACCTGTCCCTAGCCTGTATCAAAGGTCACTACATAAGGCTTCTTTATGTACAAATTAGGATATAATACAACTATTTACAGTGTGTAACACAACATGGTGCAATTCTGTCCGCAATAAAGCACTCCAACATGCTGGAGGGGGTGAGCCCTATTGCAAGAGTGCAGATGGGTGCAGCTGAACAGTCCCTGGTGAGCCCTCACACCTCTGTCTCCTCTAACCAGGACTCCCCAGAGACACTCATGCAGTACCTTTATCCAGTGATAGGCCTCTTGAGCGTTCTCTCACTTCCCAGGTTTTGGTTTTAAAATGAGGTGGAAACCTTTTTGACTGAAGTGGTCCAAAGGTGTTAAGAACAACCTCAGATCCTTGCAGTCCTGCAGGAGCAAAGCCAGCAGTTGTTCTCCAGTGCTTGAACAGCTGGGTCACAGTGCCACGCTTGAAGGAGGGCAAAAAGGACTCCTGCAATGGCTGGGTAATTTCATACATCACCACTGCTTAGGGCAGGCAGAAAAAAAAAATTAAAACCCAGGTGCTTTCACAAGTGACCAGAGGCAGCCAGCCTCATCCTGCACCACAGCTGGAGCCCCTTGCCCTGGCTGCATTTAGTGACTTTGACAACAGGTCCCCCCCACTATTATTCTACTTACTGAAACCCAGCTGTCACCACTGCTTAACGCCAGGCAATGCTGCTCTGTCAGTGCTCAGCTGCTGTCTGATCCAAGGAAGTGAAAACGGCTTGGGAAGTTGGAGGAAAAGAGGTATGAGGGCTCAGCTAAGTTTTCCTAAATTAACTGCTCCCTCTCAAACCTGGTACTCTCTCTAGCAGAGGCAGAGCTTTGAGAAAAGCAGCAACAAGTATTGAAGCTGACTGACTGGAAAACCCAGCTGCTGCTCCGGAGAGACAGCCTGCCACCTGGCTGGGACACCCCCGTGCAGTCACTGCTCACTGCACGGGTGCAACTACCCTTTTAGGGTTGGTTGTGCCACGCTCAGCTGCTGTGCCACATGCCACAGCTGGTGGGCAGGACACAGGGCCTGCCTCCCTCGCCCCAGGTAACCCACAGGGGACAAGGGGGACCGAGGAACTCACCCC